CAGCCCCCGCCCCTCTCGGCTGCCTCCTGCCCCCAGCCCCCGCCCCTCTCGGCTGCCCCCAGCCCCTGCCCCTCGCCCCCTCCCCTCTCGGCTGCCGCCAGCCCCCGCCCCTCAGATCAACCACTCTCAGCCCGGCTGCCCCCACCTTCACCCCTCTCAGCTCTGCCCCCCCAGCTCGGCCCTGCTCCTCGCCCCCTCCCTGCACAGGCCGCGCTGACTGCGAGTCTCCCCCTGCAGACCCTGGGCCCAGGATATCGAAGACGCCGACACGGAGAGGCTCTGCCAAGCAGGCAACGTGTCCCTGCCCATCCCCCGCCTTCTCCGACCCCCAGGTAAGGAGGCCTTGGGGCAGGACCCAGCGGGGTTGGGGTTTACAAGCCTGCTGTGGGGCCGGGGGGCTCTGGGACCTCTGCACAAGGATCCAAGAGGATCTCCCATCTGTCCAGACTAGCTGCCATTGCCCTCCGAAGGGCGGGTGGCGTCAGGGCCTGGCCAGCTGGGGGCGCTCTAGGAGCACACAGCTGCCGCCTCCCTCCTAGAGTGAGAACACGCCCCTCACCTGCGCGTAGACCCTGCTGCAGCCCGGAGCTGGGTCCTCGCTGGCCACCCCCATTCCCCCCCATCATGGGGACATTGGGCCATTGCCGGTCATTCCCACATCCCAGTTGCTGCCCCACGGGTGACCCGGGCCTGGCGTGGGCAGGGGGAGGCGGCTGGCCGGAGCGGTTCCTGACCTGCCTGCGTGGCTTGCTCCGCAGCAGAGGGACCGCAGTGCCAGCAGATCCGGCTCCTGCCCAACGCGGTCAGGCCCCTGCCGTGCCGGCTTTTGTCCAACTTGGCCTCGCGGCTGTGGGTGCACAATGGGACCCAGATCAACTCCTCCTACCTGGTGCTGCCGGACGGAGCCCTCATCCTGGTGGGCAGCCTGGAGCGCCTGGGCACCTACGAGTGCTGGTCGCTGGAGGAGGGCTTCCAGAAGCTGATGGCGAGCTACTGCGTGGGGGTGGAGGAGCTGGCCCCGGTGCTGCATGTGCCGCTGGACGCAGCGGGCAGGCCCCTGCCCGGCCAGGACGCCATGGAGACCATCAGCACCTCCCGGAGCACCTCTGCCGTGGGCAGCGTCTCCTCCCGGCACGACGGCAAGAGCTACTGGCCCGAGTTCCTGATCATGTGTGCGCTCTTCGGGGCGGCGCTGCTGCTGCTGGCGCTCTTCGTGCTCTGCCGGCACCGGGACAGCATGAAGGCCTTCCTCAAGCAGGGCGAGTGCCCCCGCGGGAGCCACAGGAAGGTGGGGCTGCCCGTCGAGAGCCTGCCCCTCAACGGCAGCAGCCTCCCCAGCACGGCGCCCGACCACAAGGGCTACCAGGCCCTGACCGACAACTACATCAGCACCCCCCCGCACGCGCCCCCGGGCGCCAGCCCGGCCTTCTCCCAGTCGGACAGGAGGCCCCTCAGCATCCGCGAGAGCTTCGTGGAGGTCTCTCCAGCCTGCCAGAGACCCCGGGTGCGGCTGGGCTCCGAAATCCGGGACTCCGTGGTGTGACCAGGCTGGGGCCATGAGCTGAGCCCGTGAGACGCACCAGCCCCGGCTCCGCTGAGCCTTCCCAGAGACCTGTGCCATCAGGGCCGCAGCATGGCGGGGCTGCGTGGGGCTGGCCCGCCCCCACCTCACCCTGCAGCCACCGACCCGGCTGTAACAATGACCTGCAAACTGCCTGGCGCCAAGCAGGGGGGCCCAGCACGATGTAGCACGTTCTCGGGGAGGCAGAGCCCCTCCGTGTATCTGGGGGGCGCTCACACTCCCCTGCAGCCCTCGCCCCAGCCCTGCCACCCGTGGGACAGCTCTGGCAGCCAGGGGCCGTTGCTTGGTGCAGAAGCAGGGCGTTCTGGGAAGGCCCAGGGGCTCTGGTGCTGGGAGCGGTGCAGTGGGGACCTGTGCACCTTAGTGGGGCGGAGCTGGCACGTCTAACACTGACACGTGTGAGCAAGCTGCTGCCTGCATGTGGAGCCTGTTCGGTGGCCAGGCAGGAGAGTTCATCTGTGTCGTATCCCCCTCGTTCCACATCCTGCTGTGACGTCCTGGCGCCTGCCAAGAGCTGGGTCGGGGCATGTTCTGTGCGTTTGTGCTTTGGGTTGTTTTTACTATGTGACAATGTGAACTGAGCCCCGGTGAGCACGTCCGAGCAGCAGCAGGTGCCGCTGGGGCGGTGCTGTCACCGTACCGGCTCACACCGTGTGTGGACGTTCTTGCACAGAAATGAGTTGTTGTCGTCTGTCTTTTTTACATAAAGTCCACATGTCGTCTTGGTGAGCGGTGAGTGCGCGGTCCCTGGGCGCTGTCCACGTGGGCATGGGGCGCGACGGGGCTGTGAGCAGAGCTGGGCCTGCGAGAGGCACCTGCACTCAGCAGAAGCCCCTCCTCGGTGAATTGTAACCACTCAGGCTGAAATTCCCCATGCGGGGGCTGCCTCGGCCTGAAGGCTTTGGGGAAGTTTCAGCCGTTCAAGAGCCCAGGGACAATCCATTGTAACATTTCTTGTAACCGCTTCCTTGCCCAGCACTGGAGCTTTGCAGGCTTTGGAGCGGATGGTCCCCCTGCTGCCTTTTACCCCCTGGCCAAGTTTTCATGGGAAAGTAAGGCTGGAACATTCCCAGCGGGGCCGTGTTCAGTAGCCTGCTCCATTCTCTGAAGATTGGTGTGCAAAGAGCATGTTCCAGTCCTTCCCCCCCCGCGGGCCATCCCCGCGGAGCAAGCCCCAGCCCAGGGCCGAGGGACTTTCTCTGCAGTTGCTCCTCCCGGGTGCTGGCCTTCTGTCACGGAGTCCCCGGGCGATGCTCGGGAACTGCTCCCCGCAAAGCCAGTCAGGACTTTAGGGAGCCTCCTCTCCCTCGGAGCAGACCGTCTTCAGGGCAAGAAGCTCACAGGGCTTCACCTCCTTGGAGCATTCAGCATATGCCCCTCCGTGCGCTTCCTACAGCGAGTCCACCCAGGTGGGGTCCTGGGGAAGCTAGAGGGTCCTGCACCCCCACTTTGCAGTCAGACGTGATTCTCAGCTAGCCAGTAAAACAGAGGTTTATTAGATGACAGGAACATGGTCTAAAACACAGCTTGTCGGTCCAGCGAACCAGACCCCTCGGCCGGGTCCATTCTGGGGTCCTGTGAGCCAGACACCCATCTGCCCTCTTCCAGTCCCCAGCCAGCTCCAAACTGAAACCCCTTCCAGCCCCTTCTCCTCTGGGCTTTGTCTCTTGCCTGGGCCAGGAGGTCACCTGATCTTTGTTCACCTTTAGCTATTCCCTTGCAGCGGGGAAGGGCCCTGCCCATTTGTTGCCAGGGAGACAGAGGGTTGGTGATTTATGCACACTGGCCTTTATCCCACCACCTAGAGGCTTAAGAAATGCACAGGGGAAATTGAGGCACCCACACAGTATTAGGGGAAACATTAAGAACAGTCCCACTTCGTCACACCTTCAGAGTGGAGAGCAGGGAGACAGGCCCGGCTGTGCTCTGGGCAGCAAGCGGGAGGATGAATGGGCTTGACCCACAGGGGGGAGGAGTGGTGGTGGAGGGGCCTGGGGCAGCTGGGAGCGACAGGAGCCACCAGGGGGTGGAGGGGGATGGGGCAGAAGGGTGTGTTGTCACTCGACCACACTCCTGTCCTGTCTCCTCCGTGCTCGGCTCTCAGCAACCAGCTGGGAAACACGCTGGCAGATGTGGTCTCTTCTCCCCAGCGGCTGAGAACCGCCTACCTCCCAGGGGTTCTCCAGGGAGCTGTCGGTGGCTCCCGGGCGGAGCTGAGACCCTACTCATCCCAAGTGGCAAGTGCTCCGGTGCCGAGCCAGAGTGCGAGGGGCTGTGCCCAGGGCCTGCAGCTCTCGGCAAGCGGGGCAGGAGCTGCTCCCAGAAGCTGATTTTAAATGAGCTCTCGTGAAACGTTAGGGATCACGTACGGGCTACAGCTGACTGTCCAGCCTTGGCTGACCTATAAGGCCGTGGCAACGTTCATGTGTAGTGATGGCATGGTAACGAAAGGCTATACGTTCTGTTTCAAACCTCCTTTCAGCCAAACGCCCCCATTTGGTTTGCCTGGGCCTGGCCGCTGAGCTGGGCGCTGCCCCTAACGCCAGGCCCCAGAGCTGCAGCTCCGTGGCAGGGCGCTTTTCTCTGCGGGGTAGCAGCATTTGGTGCTTTTACAGCTCTCCAGCTCCCCTGGCAGCACTGTGCACAGATCCTGTGGGCTGGCTGGCTGTGGGGCACCACAGGCCGTAAGTGCGTGGCGGTGCTGTAAGCGAGAGGGACCCATGGCCCGTGAGGCACCGCAGGATCACACCACAGGCTGGACCTCTGCACTGTTCTCCGCCAGCACCCCGCGGCCAGCTGGATCCCAGAGCCTCGTGCACCACACGGGACAGGGAAGAGCCCCCCAATCCCTTCGCTATGTTGAAAAGGCCCCTAGCTGGTGGGGGGAATCACCGAGCTGTCAATGGGCTCCTAGAGGGGGAGGGAGATGTAATAGGAACAGTGAAGGGCGGGAGAGGACTCGGGGCCCCGTAACCCCAGGGAGCAGGGAGGGCAGCAGGGGGGGAGGGATAGCTCAGTGGTTTGAGCATTGGCCTGCTAACCCCAGGGTTGTAAGTTCAATCCTTGAGGGGGGCCACTTAGGGATCTGGGGCAAAATCTAGTACTTGGTCCTGCTAGTGAAGGCAGGGGGCTGGACTCGATGACTTTTCAAGGTCCCTTCCAGCTCTAGGAGAGAGGATGTCTCCATTAATTTATTTATTAACCCCCTCCCCTAATGATGGGGCAGGAGAGACTATAGCCTCTGGCCTGACACAGCCAGCCCCGGAGGCAGCACTGCCCCCTCGAGTGTTGCAGGTGATGGCAGGTTGCTGCAGGCTGCCCAGAGCCATGGCCCAGGGGGTGGGGAAACCGACCCCACACGTCTCCCTGCAGAGCCATCAGTTCTCTGCGCGCACACACACACACACACACCCCAGCGTAAGACTCCAGCTCTTTATTCATTCTCCATACATGGCCGAGCAGCCCCCCGCCCCGTGCAGAGTACTGCAGGCCCTCCCTCCCACGGTGGGGGAGCGCCCAGCAGAGCGGCACGTGTAAGAAAGGGTAGAAAGAAAGAAAAGAACAAACACCCTGAGTCTTTGCTCCCCAGCCAGGCACTAGCACTGTGTCAGGCAGCAGCAGGCAGGGTGGGACCGCAGAGTGGAGCGTTCTGCCTGAGGGCCATTGCCTTCCCCTGGCCTGCGGCAGCTGACTAGCAGGGGAAGGACCCAGGGCCAGGGTGCCTGACAACAGGAATCAGCTGCTGCTTCGGGAAGGGAGGTACAGCACCAGCAGACACGGACTCCCAGGGCAGGGCAGACTGGGAGCAGCACAGGCGGAAGCTTTCAAAGTCAGTTCTCAGCTGTGGCCCTGCCCGCTGCCAGCCCTGTGATTGCTGTGGCCTGTGCCAGGCCTGCCAGGACACCCCACCCCCCGCAGACTCTGGCTGAGCAGAAAGCTGTGCGTGGTCCAACACGGAGGAGTTGGGAAGTGGACAGAGAAGTTACAGAAACACCCTGGACAGCAGCATTTTAAGGTGCCAGTTACATGATTGCATAGTAAAACAAGCCCCTTGTGCTACATCCCTTTGCCTGACCCCCTCAGGGAGCCAGCCAGGCCTGCTGCATCCTCAGGGGCTCGTGCCGGAGTCCTAGCTGCCAGTTTGCTCGTGGAAGGCACAAAGAGAAGCTCGGGAGGGTGAGCCCTGGATTATCACCGGGCCCCAGCAGGAGTTCCCCTCTCCAGCTCAGGATGTCCAGGGCAGGCCCAGAGGACTGCACCTGGTTTGCATAGGAGTAAGCCCATGAAAATATAGCCCATGGAGACTAGAGATCCCAGCATGCTTTGTGCCATGCTGATCCCAGCAGCCTCTGCTCTGATCCAGGTACGGCTTGACAGGCTGGGACCTGTAGTCTCCGTGGGCCAGGAGTTTGTTGGAAGCACAAGGCAGCTGCATTAAGGAGCCTGCAGACCAAGAAGAGCACAGAAGGCACAGCATCCTGGGCAGGAGAGGCCTTGCCCCGTGGAGCCCTGCATAAGGCACTATGGAAGGAGTGCTCCTAGACACCGGACTCCTAGCACGATCCTGGAGTCACCAATATTATCGCATCTGTTTGCCAGAAGGGGAAGGATCCAGCCACTGCGCAGAGCTGGTGCAGAGCCGCACAGCAGGCTAGGAAGGGACAGCCAGCCACAGGACGCCTCCGATTGAAGGGACGTGGCGCCATCACAGCACGATCTTGAAGGAACTGAAAGAGACACAGTGACCAGCCCATTCTCATGCTGTGCCCCAGGGGAGCTACTCGCTGAAGGCTCCAGTGCTGGGCACGGGAAGGGCTGTATGTAACATGGCGTGAAAGGAGCTCAGAGGGGACATGGCAGACCCAAGCAGAATGCAGCTGGTGTTTAAGAGACATGATTCTGGACGTCTCCTGCCAATGGCTTGATGGGGGGGGGGGGGGCGCCCTGGATACCCTGAGCATGGTCAGACAGCCCCCATCAAGCTAGCAAAGAAACAACCTAGAGGAGTCGAGTGGCCAGGGAAGGGGGGCAGTCTGGTGCGTGAGGCTCAGGACTAGAAGACGGGAGAGCTGGGTTCTCCTGCTGCCATGGTGTGACTGTAGGCAAGCAAAGCCTGGGCCCCTGTCCCCCCGTGAAAGGAGAAGGCCCTGCTGTGGCCAGGCGGCGCTCGTTCTGTTTGCGAAGCAGGAAGGATGGGCCGGTGGTAATGAAACTGGCCTGGGATTTGGAGCCATGGATTCTACTCCCAGCTCTGCTACAGCCTCCCTGTGTAACTCTGGCGAGTCGCTCCCTGCCCCACCTGCAGCATGGACAGAACAGCCCTTCCTCCCGCTCCGCCAGCTGCGTTCTGTCTGCGAGCTCCTCGGGCAGGCACTGGCTCTGTGCTTACATTACAGCTCCCGGCAGAACGGGCTGGAGATCAGACAAATGAGTGGAGCATCTAGGCACTGCCACAATACAGCTCGCTAGGAAGGGGTCAGGAGCCACAGCCCCATTGAACTGGGACTCAGGTGCTTAGGAAGTGTTCCCCGAGCATTGCAGGGTCTCAGTGGACAGGACTAGAGATAGGCAAAGGTTTCTTTACTGTTATAGGAGACTTTTTAGAGCAGCTCCCTGCTACGTCTGCGCTTTTAGCCCTGCTACCACCTGGGAGATCTGTGTCCACTCTGCGCAGAGAGTTAAGCAAACCCCCATTCCACCCACTGGCTAGCTTTCCCTGCCTAGCAAGCACTGGATTTTCTCCAGCCAGACACTGCAGCAAGCAGTGGAGACAGAGGTACCTGGCAAAGTCTGGTGATCGAGAAATGACATGCTGGAACTCAGAGAGGTTAATTGTCCCATCCTTGTCAATATCGGACTCCTCCAGGATCTGTCAGGGAAAGGGAAACACCAGCCCTCAAAGCCTGCTTGAGCAGCCCCACACAGCAGGTCCAGCAAGCCCTCCTGGCCAAGCCCCACAGACTCACGTTCTGGATGAGCTGGTCCATCTCTGACTCACTCAGCCTAGTCTCGTCTCCTTCCCCTGTCAGGCAGTTCACCAGCTTCTCCAGGTCCTTCCTGTCCAGGGTCCCGTCATCGTCAAAATCTTTGGGGGGAAACGTCCAGGTTACCATCAGAGGCACTTGCCCATGAGACCCTGTTTCCATGGCTGTGGCCTAGCGACACAGGAGATTCATAAGCAGGAGTGCTCCCAGAGAGGGGCCTCTTGGCTGGGCCTCAGGCTTGCCCCGGGGGCCTCGCAGCCTCCCCATTGGAGCCCTTCGCTGGGGTAGGGCTGGCTAACACCACAACCTGCTCCAAGCACCTCAGACTGCAGCTGGGCAAACAGGACAGCAAGTTCCTGATGTGACCCCCTCCGTGAGAGCAGCCCCCCCCCGCAAGCCCTGCTCTGCACAGAGGGACCGGCGAAGCAGAGCATTCACCCCGGGGCCTGGCTGATCTCTACCGAAGATGCGGAAGGCGTAGTGGGATTTGATCTCCGAAGTGGCTGAGTCGCTGAAGACGCTCAGCATGTCGAGGAAGTCTTCGAAGGACATGCTGCCATCCCCATCCTCTGAGGTGGAGAAGACCCAGCAGATCCGGTCCTGGAACGGGTTTGCCTGTCAACACATGGGGAATCACCACTGGACTGAGGCACCAGGACTTCCCAGCAGCAGCAGGGCAGTTCTGCTCTAGCTCAGTGGGGGTTCCAGAGGGGTCAGGCAGATGATCACAATGGTCCCTTCCAGCCTTAAAATCCCTGACTGTGCAGAGACCCTCAGAACTTCCTGTGCAATTCCATTTGCTGCTGGTTAGCCCCCTGCCATCAGGTGCCTGCAGCACCTGCGTGGCCTGGGAAGCTGGGCACCATGGTGACTGACACCTCTTCCCACAGCCCTGGCAGCTCAGCAGGGAACGGTAAGTGGAGCAAGCGCACCATGACTGGAACCGCCTCCTCGATTGCAGAGCACACCCAAAACGAACGGCAGCTGCCCACAGCCAGGAACCAAGTCTTGGCCCAGAACCAAGAGATCAGTGGGACTGACCTGGTTCCTCCTAGGGCTGGGTCGGAGGGGGAGGCTAAGCAGCAGGGGTGTGCACCATACCCTCAGTTCAGGTAGTGTGAGGATCTTGCTCTTGGGGACTCTTTTCTGCAGGATACTCTCCCTCTCCTCCTTTGACAGCAGCTCACTGAATCTCTTGTGGGCGCTTTGGGAGACAAGAACAATTAGAGCATGGCAGAGCTGCTAACGGTCTGGGACAGAGGCTGCTGAGCTTAGCTGGGGGCCTGCCGGGGTAATTCTTCCCCAGAGCTGCCTGGAGAGGTGACTATTCCCCAGCCCTGAGCACACTCCCCATGCTGCACCAGAAACAACACCCTGACGCAAACAAGGGGCGAGGAAGGAGGAACAGTGGTCGCCAATCAGTTCCCGGCTGGCTAGCCCTCTACAGGCACCACAGCATCCGCAGCTGCCTCCTGTGCCAGCTCCTAGACACACCACACTGTGATCCCCCTGCCCCACACCTGTCCTGTTACAGGGTGG